AGCAGGAGCCCCAGCAGAAAGCTCCCTATCGGGGCAGCCTGGCTTTAAAGCAGAGCTAGTTCAAACACTGGGAAGAGCTCAAGCAACAGAAACCAGCTAAATCAGATGATTTATAGTAGGGAAACTGAAAACAGACAAATGTAAAGGTATCATCTGCCATCCAGATGGTGCAGTCCTTGCATAACAAAAAAGTTGCGGGGGGGAAGAGGGAACTAAACAACATCTCACACCCAGAGACAGAGCTCTGAAGGACGCCCCAGTTTAGTAGTTTCTCTGATAAAAATCTCTTCCCATGACTACTTGTGGTAGGTGCCAGGACCTCCACGCCTAGTCCTGAGGCTTATCAGCAGATCCCAGCCGTCCTACCACTGCTGGTCCTCAAAGAAGCACTCTGCATCCTCCTCGGGAAGAAAATTAGGAAAAGGTTGATAGCACCAGCCAGGTGCTAGAGCAGTTTGAAGTGGGACGAGGAGCAGGAGACTTCTCCAAACCCTATCATGGAAAGCTGCAGCTTTATGAAAGGGAGCGCATGGCAGCGTGTTGCAAAAAAATCCCCCGCACAGCAGTGACCCGGGAGGCACCTTTCCATCTTAGGTTCCCGGCTCGCCCCCCACGGCTGCAATCCTGCAGCACCCACCCCACTTTGATATTTCATAGGGGCTTATGAATCCCAGCAGATGCAGGGGAAACTGAAGCCGCTTTCCCGCGTTCCACAGCGCACGACATGGGGCAGTCACTCGGATTAGGTCCTTTGAACAAAGACCCAGGATGATTTTAAAAGCAAACGGGGTTTTGCTTCCTTCCCTATGTAGGTTTGTGGGTCTGAGCCCTACACAGAGCTGAGCAGAGGGTGATGGCAAAGGGGGAAACGAAAAGACAAACCCCAGCCTGCAACGACTGCCAAACCGAGCCCTAACTACTGATGGATGTAACCCACAGAGAAGCTGTTAGTTTGCAATATAGTTGCAGGTGAAGAGGAAGACAAAGGAGAAATTTGTCAGTCCAGATCTGGCATTTTATGGTGTCAGAAAGCAACAGGAAGGCACAAGCGGAGATCAGCTTAAGAGAGAGTTTCGGGGAAGATTATTAGCAATTACACCTCGTTACAACAGTGATAAATGCTTAACTGCTGCGTATCGCTGCAATGAGAACCTTCACCCCTGGCAAGGGGCCCATACCCGGTCCAGACCAGCTCTGGATCCGTCCGTGGGCTGTGCCATATGTTGCACTGGCAATTCTTCACAAGCTTTTAATGTTCGCTCTGCCACGCCAGGTGCAAGCTCTTAAAACACCATTGTATGTAACAGTAAACCCAGATATGCTTTGTTCTGGGGTTGTGTTTATCTTGGAAAGCAACTCAAGTTCATTCAAACTCTACTCTAGAATGACCCTCAAAAACCAAATAATCTCCTTTCTAATAAAGCAGAGTCCCAAAGAAAGCTTTATTTGCTGAAGAGGATTTACTCTAGTAGATTTGAGCCCAGGTAGTAGTACTCTGTAGTGCACGTACCCTGTAAAAGCTTATAATAGAAGTAAATGCACTCCAATCCCTTCCTTTTATCTTGTGAAATTTATTTCCTTTCCGTGGCGTTCCACGCCACTGCAGCAATCCATCACCCTGCGGTTTCATCATGTAAATTACAATTTGTCCATGTCTATACGCTTTGTCAAACGTGAAGATTAAAAGCTGCTAACAGATGTGTTTTGGCACCAATCTTCACATTCGTATCGAACTTACTCCTTAAAAACACAGATTTGCACACAATCCGCAAAAATTAAGTGAAAAACAGTTCTGGGCTCTCTGAGCTTAATCCAAACGTTTCATACCATATTTGTTGAGGTACCCCCAGCTTACATTTCCTGGTGAAAATATAATCATGTTCTTGTAAAAATGACGTGCTCTTGGTAAAATAAAATCCGTTTTTTGTTGGTACCTTGTCATATCCATCCCATTTCAGAGTCTCACGTAAGGGAAACTGTTTGCCCTATATCCTTAGTCTTTTCCGACTCGTTGGCAATTGAATCTGGATGCACATCTCTGGTAGAAACTTCACCATTAAAGCACACACCCATCAAGTGAAATGCCTTTTTAACAGCCTACCACAAAGCCACCAAAACTCCAGAAAACCCAATCTGTGCAAGCAGATAAAGTTCAGAGAAGCAACCGGTTTCTTTTTCCCTCCTTCCCAAGGCAAGGAATAGCTGAGGAATGATGACAGAGCTCCAACCATGGACGGTCCTGCGGGGAGCTCCCACCAACTGCCAGACAGCCAGAGCCACATTTTATTCTCTCACTCTACCTTCAAGTTAACATTAAGAATGTTAATAACAACATTTAAAATCCTGCCAGCTGTAATAACTATTTATAACAACACTGATAACTCAGGCTTTCTTATTTTCCAAGCTTGCACAACAACAGCGTTGCCATGCCAGCAGCACAGCCACCAGAAAACATAAAAATCCAACAATTTGAAAAGAAATGCAGTTTGATTTATACTGTGTTTTCTTTGCAAAAAAACTGAAGTAGGGCAATACTGGATAAAGAATACTGAAGGAGTAACTTCTCAGTGACATGGAAAGATGATTTCATGACTTCAAAAACTAACTCCAAAGCTGACTGAAGGACTGTGGGATGCTCCAGGTGAGCAGCCAATTTAGACAAGCGAAGTGTCGTCAATTTTCGGGACCAACACAACCTTACTTGCATCATTTTTTCCTTCCTTCAGTGTTGTGCAAGAGCATCATCTTGGCAGATGCCGGCCCAGACATTCAGCTCATTGTGAAGCAGAAGATCACTCAGGCAGCTCTTGGTTTGCTTCCCCACCCCAATTATTCCAACGAAAGTGTTTTGGAATTAACTACGTATTTAACCAATTTTGCTGGCCCAGTGCTAGCACATGAATAATTTAGAAAGCATCTGGTTCAACCACAGATTTGGGCCTCCAAGGTCTTGCACAAGGGAGCACA